TGGAAGAAGATTGGAAAAGCAGGAAGGCGCCAGGCTATGAAGGGCTTTCAAAGCCAAGGGAGATTTTTATATTTGAACCTAGAGGTAATAGGGAGCCAATAGTCTTGTTTTGTTTTGTTTTTGTTTTGTTTTTTACAGAGGGAGGTAATAAAATCAAATCTGTGCTTTAGGAAGATCACTTTGGCAGAACTTTCATTAAACGGCCCAACATCAAATTCATGTTCATAAAGCACTTGAAAGTTTGCTGCAAAGCACCTCTCTCCAAATGACCCTGTAATAGAGTAGGTGATGCAAATACTATTCTCCAAAATTTAGATGGGGAAGCAAACTCCGAGAGGTGAAGTCACTCGTCATAGGCCACACAGCTCTTAAGTGACAGAACCAGGAATCAAACCAACTTCCCCTGATCCCAGTACCACATTGTCTGCTCTACTTCTGAAGCTACAGTGGATCTGCAGCCACATCCAAATATAATATAGGAATGGGAATCATTACAAAATGACCCCAGAATTCTTGTTACTCTGACCAAGAAAAAGGATTCCCTAAGATTATTTTTTAAATTGTTTTCCGAGGTGTAATGGAAAGAGGGCTGACCTTGGAGTTAAGAAGACCTGGGTTCAAGTCCATCCTTCCACAAATACAGCTTGTATGTCCCTGGGCAAGTTGCTTAACCTCTCAGGGCTGTCAAGAAACTCTTTAAGACCAGAAATTATGGAGAATGGCAAATCTGCATGGATGGAGGTAATTACCATACTATGAGCCTATGATGAAATCATAGTGCTGGACAAAAAAGATCAGCGTCTATTTTTGCTGAAAAAAAAAAAAAAGATTAACAAACCCCTATGCCCTAATATTTGTTTATAATTATTCTCAAATCCTTTATAAAATACATGGTCATAAAAAAGGAGATATTATTTACTTTATAAGACTACACAATTAGTTTAAAAAAATACCTTGCCATAAGATCTTCAATCAGATATTCAATCTGACCTCCTCATTTGACAGCTGGAGACAACATCGAAGACTAGAAAGATAGTGTGGCTTACCCAAGGTTATACAAGTAGAAAAGATTCAAATCCAGATCTTTTGATTACAAATTCAAGGCTCTTTCAACTCTACCAGACTGCAGACTGTTCAATAATACAAAAACTACTCATGAGCTCTTTTTGGAGGTGAGGAAGAAGGCAAGGATAACCAGTTTACTCTTCCCAGGAAATAGGGCCACCACTGCTGATTACTCACAATGATCACCTCCAGTAAATAACAGGACAAAACAATATCAATAAATTTCCATCTTCAAAGTAGCACCACTGTTGCAAATGCCATGATAGTAAACTCTTGTCCATTTTCATTCCCTGTCTTTGTTTCTTCCCACTTTCAGGAGGTCCATTACTATGGAATGCTGTGATCAAAGACCATTCATTCCAGACAGCTCATTGTCAACATATGATCTTTAAACTGATAGGAAAAGTAGAGCTTCCTCCCTCTAATTCATTTCATTTGCCTGCTTTTCTTTTGCCTAGTGACTCAGCACTGATCCAATGTGTACGCTGTTACTGATCGGACATCTTCTTCATAGAAGTTATGGTAAATAACATAAGCCCAAAAAACAATGCCAAGGCCTACCATGGGATGCAGGCAAATTATGTACCTCCACCTAAAATGTAGGTGAAAGCAAAGAATCTCTTCTTAATGCAGGAATTATTAAATAGTATCAGAAAGCAGAATCTAGTAAATAATCAGAGATTTCCATCTAAGACTCAAGGAATTAGTAGGTAGAGCATCCCCATTCTTGTTGGCTATTAAAAGACAATCAAGTCAGATACAGCCGAGAAAGAATGACAAAGAAAAAAATAATAATTTTCAAAAAGCAGACCAGAATCAGAATACTGCATAAAAAGCCTTCAGCTCTTTTAACTATGTATGGTCTTTTCGAGTACCAAGAGCTCCATCCAGAGAACGTCTTAAGAACTACACTTTGTTTATTCTAGAGGAAAAGAAAACACAAATCTTTTGTAGTCCAAAATAGGGCTCACCTTCATCCTCCCCAGAGAGCCCTTCCCTTTTATTGGATGATGAAGAAGAAGCTTCCGAATTTTTATTTTCATTTTTTTAAGTACTCTGATACTCCAAATACAATCAGCACCTTAACATGCTGCCTGGGGCTCCCCAGGGATCTAAATATAATGATAACTAAAGTGTTTTTGTCTTCTTGTACCTGTTCTGTTCATCTCTAAGGACTGTCAGGTCATCAGAAGAAGAGCACTTTATTAAAATAATAACGATGATGTAGCAGCTTCCACAGACAAACACGAACACTTTAATAAGAGTAGAACTAAGACTAGTTCTGTGTAAAGTGGGATTCCCAGTCACCTTGACTAGAATGTCAAACAGTGTTGCAGCAGATCATTTGCAACCTTTCGCCACTCTCCCTGAGATGAACACTGTATGGACTTGTCAAAGAAGAGGTTATTGTTCCCAGGACATTATGCTTGCATCACACACACACACACACACACACACACACAGAGTCAGTCAGGAGAGGTTCCCTTCTCCCAGAAGGGATCAGGTTGCTAAAAACTGAGCTGAGGTAGCAATACTGATTTTCTTTGGCCATACCACAACAGCACAAAGATTCTCTAGAAGAGACTCCAACTCCTTAAATAAATGAAAAAAAAAATCTTCTCAAAACAACAACATCATAATGCTGAGAGGTCCCCCTGCCCCTTCACCAGCTTCCCACCTCAGAATGTCATTTAGTTCCCTCTGTGAGCAGCCTCTGCCCATTTCCTACAAGACGATGGACAGCCTTGATTGACAGGCTTTGGGGAGGGGCAAAGAAGACTTAACCTTTACTCTGTTTTCTCCCCTTTTGTTCTTCTTCACTGTCAAACATCAGGCAAGCTTTTCATGTATGTTGACAGAAATATGCACTGAGGAGATTACAGCCCTGAAGTGGGAGGGCCTTGCTGACACACCATCTACTCCAAGGGCAATGGGTTGGGAATATGCAGTCAAGAGCTTTGCTAGATCCACTGAAGGACAGAATTTCCTGCAGCACAGAAAATAAAGTGAGATTATAAAGTAATGAGTTGGGAAAAGGGGGAGAGCTCTATTCAGAAATGAAAGTGATAGGAATACAAAAGATGTCCATTTAAAAATTTAAAGAAAAGAAAAGAAAATGATGGGATTGATTTCCACAGGTAGTTCATGGTAATATCTCATTACTTTGCAGTTATGCTATGTGTTAGAGTACGTATCAATCAGAAGACCTCATATTTAGTGCTGGAAAAAAAACCTCAGTGGTCATCTAGTAGGTGACATGGTAGAAAGAATGCTGGGCCTGGAGTCAGGAACACCTGAATTCAAATCCAGTCTCAAACACTTACTAGCTGTATGACCCTGGGCAAATCACTTGACCTCTGTCTGTCTCAGTTTCCCCAACTATAAAATAGAGATGATAATAGCACCTACACTGCAAGGATATTGTAAGGATCAAATGCAATGTTTGTGAAGTGCTTAGGCCAGTGCCTGGACCATAATGAACACTATATAAATTATTATTTCCTTCCCTTCCCCCAACATCTCCCCCAGGTAGAACTGATGCCACTGCTGATTGACACAAAAGCTTTTATCTGCTCCATTTCCGACCCGGGCCAGTTCATCCCTCCTTAGGCACATAGTAGGTGTTTAGTAATGCCTGTTGCCTTTTTTCCTTTCCTTCCCTCATCTATTTACAGATAACAAAACTGGGTCTCAGAAAGGTTAAATGACTTACTCCCAATCACACAGTTAGTAAACAGCAAAGCTGCAATTTAGAGCCAGATTTTGGGATGATAAATTGTTCTCTTTCCACCGTACTAGGCTTTGATCACTTGAGGGCTGTCCCTAGCAGAGCAACCGAAATTCAAAGTGATCACAGGATCATTAAGCTTGTAAGAACCTTGGAGTTCACCTGATCTAACCTCCCCATTTTATAGATGAAGAAACTGAGGCTCAGAGAAGTTAAATGTCTTGCCCAAGGTCACACAGGTAGTAAATGGTAGAACTCCTCTTGATGGTCATGCTATTTGGGTCATCTCTGAAAAATAATGTAAGAGGATGTGTTTCATTTGCTTACAAAGGCAGCATCACTTATAGGACCTAGGGATAACACTGTGCATGCAGCAGGAGGACACAGAACCAATACAGGGTTTTCCCTTTTCTTTTGTTGTTCAGGTCTTTCCTGCCAGCTGTTCCCCTTAGCTCCCTGCTGTTCTGCATTCTGCCATATACAGTAAGAGGCTTATGCAAAATCACTGGCTAGCAGGCAGTATAGCTAAATAGAACCATTAAAAAAAAACTGAAGACCAAAGTATAAAAGTATTTCAAAAACACTCAAGTACAGGAAGAACCAATGGTTTGGTCAGTATTGGGAACCCCCAGTGTAGGAACATATGTAAATGCACATATATGTATCTATATATGTAAATGTACATATACACACATGTATGTATATGTGTGTATATATATCTGTATTTTGATGTAATTTATTTCCTTTGCAATCTTATGTATTTTATTGTATACATTTAAAGTCATTTTTCTGAGAATGGATCCATAGGCTTCACCAGTCTGACAAAGGGGTCTGTGACACAAGACAGGTGAAGAATCCCTGCTCTAGAGAGATTATGAATGTAGAGAGGTTAAATCACTTGCCCTGAGTCACACAGCTAGAAAATGCAAGAGTTGGGACCTGAACGTGGGTCTTCCTGACATCATGCCCAGCATGCTATCCACAATACCACAACTATTATAATTTTGAAAATCCCATTAGAAAAATGAAAGGGCAGGCCTTGTTTCCTCTTATTTCCAGAGAGTAAAATCTATCTGTACATCCCAAAATATAGTTTTACTTTGGTAGGGTTTTAGAAGCTTCAACAACTGCACAAACACCAAAACCTTAAATCAGCATCAAGCTTGAAACCACTTACAAAAAATAATTTAACATGAGATTTCTTTACCTTTTCTCTGGCTCTCCTCTTTGTCCCTGCATCCATCCACTCATTTTCCTTGTCCAGCATGTCAATGAAGGCCCAGCGAACTCCCTCAATCAGTTCCTCCATCTAGAAGAAAAAGTCACCCTAATAAGAAAATCCAAGCACAAGGTAGAAAGCCCAGTAGGCAGAAGGTAAACAATGAGAACATGTAGAAAGCAGGAATCTTTGGAAGAGAGCTTCAGGACCATGCCCCATTTCAGGGAGATATAGATTGTTGAAAATAGAGACATGCCTTCTTTGTACCTAGACTTGAACTGCCCCAGAAAGACCCTGCAAAGAAAGACCCTTCCTCAACTTAAACATAACAAGAGAGGGGTTGCAGTGACTGCAGCATTTACCTCTGCAAATCATTTCAAGGACCAGCAATAAACAGATTACATGGAGAAATTACCATAGCTCCTACCTTGTAACCTAAATCTGCCTGTGGCTATCTAGCTCTGAGAACTCATTTCAATTTTCTATGAGGGCTGAAGGGGAAAAAATAAAAAGCAAAAAAGTGAACAGGGAGATGGGTATTTCAGAAAAATGACTGAAACTGAAAAGATCCAGAGTTAACAGAAACCCAAGTAGAAAGAGAAGGGAAGTTTTCCCCTGAGGGAAAACTTCTCCCACATGAATCAAAGCTGTTCTGGGTACCCCAGTCAGTTCTTTTTAAGTTTGATCCCTAGGGTGAACGAGATATTTTCTCAATATCTTTGTTCTTGGCTTCTCATTCACCTCATTACTTTCTCTCTCTCCTGTCTTTCTGTCTCTCTCCTCTCTGTCTCTGTCTCTGTCTGTCTCTATCTCTGTCTCTGTCTATCTCTGTCTCTCTCTCTTCCTCACTCCCTCTCTCTCTCTGTCTGTCTCTCTCTGTCTCTGCCTCTGTCTGTCTCTCTTTTTGTCTCCTAAAATGATTGAACCAAAATTTACTGTTCCCAAGGAATTTCTGCTAAAAGACCTAAAACCAAACTTTTAGCCATTAATTGATACTCCTATACATATCATGTCCTTGCTCTTTCTCCAGTTCAAGGAAAGAAGCAAAATAGACTAGAGAAAAAGATGCTGCCTGTATACACAAACAGGGGATTCAGGAGAGATGCCCATCCCATGTTTGTGATAAGCAATACCCTGACTTCCATGTACATTAATGCATTTATATTTCACACGAAAAAAGACAAGGTAGATGCTTCTTAAAAGTTATGATTAAAATTATCTTTTTAATTTATTACTATATAACCAATTTTGGTCATTCATGTGAAGAAATAACACAAAAATTTGACTTTGTTCTGCTACAAAATTTAGTTTGGAACTGAAAAATCCTTCTGGTTAATTCATTTTCAGATCCATAATAGCTGTAAGTGAATCAGTTGTATATTGGCAAACCTGGTTATATGTGGCAGATGGATGAGTTTTAGAGATTTCCCATAGGAAAAAAATAATAAAAGAATCAAACATTCCCCTCTTGAGGGAAAAAGGCCTGTGATTTCAATGGTATAACGTATAAAGAGGAAGTCTCTCTACCAATGCAGATCTATACCTGGAGGCACTCAGAAATGAAGTGATTTGCCCAGGGTCACACTGCCAGTATGTATGAGAGGAAGGATTTGAAGCCAGGTTTTCCTGATTCCCAGGCCAGTTTCTATCCTCCACACCATGCTGTCTCTTGGGAGTATTATAGACTCATAGAATTTTGGACCCAGAAGATAATTTAAACATGATTTCACTTCTCACATACACACATTTTACAGAGGAGGAAACTGAGGCCCAGAGAACTTGTCTTGCCAAAAGTCACCAAAGGAACTAAATGTAAAAGCCAGGATTCAAATTCAAGATTTAAAGGTTGGATTTTTTTTTGTTTTTATTTTTCTGGAAATAAGAAAGGGACCTCTCAGGTCTCAAGGGAAATATATAACCAATGGGAAAGAAAAAAGGCTGATGCCTGAGGAAAACAAAAAACAAAAAAACAAGAAGAGGATTAGAATGATACAATAGAAGATCAGGACCTCTGACTGCAATTCAATCACTAAACAATAATCTATAGGGTCCTGTCTTACAGGATTACCACACATCTTCCAGCCCTTATGTAATCACAATCGAAAGGGTGCTTGACCCAGGAGAGATGGTAAATAGTCCCTGTCCAAGGATCTACAATCATATGGAATTTCTACACCTAATGACCTAGCCTATGCAGGATCCTGTTTCCATTTTCCCTGCCCAGACTACACTCTCTACTTGTTCCCTCAGTTTTTTTTTTAATGCCTAGACAGTATTCCTACCTGTATATCTGCATGCCACTCAGAACCCTAAAATTTAGAGGAAGAAAGGGAGGGAGGGAGGGAGGGAAGAAGCATTTCTATAGCAGGTACTATGTACCAGGCACTATGCTAAGTGCTTCTGTATCTCATCTGATCCTTACAACAACCCTGTGAGGTAGGTGCTATTCTTATCCCCACTTAATAGTTGAGGAACTGAGATAAACAGATGTTTGATGACTTGTCCAGGATCCTATAACTAAATAAGTGGCTGAGGCTGAATTTGAACTCAGGTTGTCCTGACTCCAGGTCTGGTGCTCAATCCACTGCAACATCAGCTGAAAGGACTTTAGAGATTATCTATTCCAATTCCCTCATTTTTACTAATGAAAAAATTGAGGCCCAAATGAGGTGAGTTTTCTCCTGTCCAATCTGACTCTTGGGACTCTATCTACGCCTACTGAATCCCTCTGGTTTGGCCTAAACACCCTACCCTCCAGCCTCAGCTTTACTCTCTGGCTTTTTGGTACCTAGACGCACCATCTTTCTGTACTAACTAACCAGAATCATCACTGATTATATTCCCTATATGCCTCATTATCAGGAATACACTTCCAGTCAAGTCGGGCATCCACCCCTGGCCCCTCCTAGACTGCCACTACTCAAGACTCATTACTGACACTTGAGTTCCTGGGAGAAAATATTTTTAATTAATCTGAGAACAGGATCTTTCTCAAATCTGGCTTAAACTTGGTAATAACTTAACTAGTTGGCAAGGAGTTAGCAAAATGAAATCTAGCTGCATAGATGGGAATTATCTATTCATTTTGAACTAAAAGTTTATCTTAAGGTAAGACTTATCTTGCCTTTCTGAGCTGTAGTATTTTTATTTTTACTATTCTTAAAAAAAAGTAAATATTTTCTTAGAAAAAGGAAGCTATGATTGAATTTGGGTCTCTGTGCAATAAGACTTTTCCACTTGGAATCATGTCTCTGATGCCTGACAGTAAATGGTGGGAGAGGAAACACCAAGAGAGGGAAAAGACTTATCATTTTGCACAATTCCAACCTAGGCCATAATAGCCAAGGAGAGAAGGAAAGAGGAAAATCCCAAGTGGTAGCAGGAAGGGAAAGAAGAGAAGCCTTAGTGACTCCCAGGCTAGCATGGCTATTCTAGGGCAGTTGTCCATATGTAAGGCAGGTGTCACAGACAGCCATCATTAGGGCATAGAAACTCGAGCTTTGTCCATGGTGCTGACAGCACTTTCAGTCCTTCAGTGGCATAAAAATAACAGCTAAGCATAAACACCTAATTATTAAGAATAACTTATAAAGATAGATACTAACAGGTAGCATACTAGAATGACATCCTTCCTACCCTTTCATGCTCTCCCACCCAACTACACACAGCCTGAGAGTGGGTCTGCTAGGACCTGGGTTTCTGTCATCTCCAGCCATCAGACCAATGTTTCCCCTCCACAACTAAAGCTATGCTTTATGTTGACTGCTCTAAAACAAAAATTCTCAATTGCATCTCTGATTTGGAACTCCAGTGCAATTTCAGGTAAATAGCAACCCCACCTCTCTTTTTCAACTCTAGCTAGAAAACATCCATGGAGTATTGAGTCCACCACTTGACCACTTTCGATGAAACATGTACTTACCTGTGAAGGATCTTTCAATTTGGGAAGGCTGCATCCTAACTGTGCCAAATAAGTCTGTCCTACATACCAGGACAAGTGACCAACTTAGTGGACCTTAAAGATGGAGTGTCTTCACCTTCTGTCTCTCTCTCCCCCTCATCTGCCATCAATTCAGACTTACTTTATCTGCTTTCAAGAATGATAGGGAGAAATGCTGGTGCTCTTTTCTCACCCCAGAAGTATGATGGCTGATAGCATTTAGCAGTTAAAATATATGGGCAGTATCAATTGGGCAATGGCTAAACAAGTTGTGGTATATGATTATGACAGAATATTATTGTGCTATAAGAAATGACAAGAAGGATGCTTTCTGAAAAACATGGGAAGACTTATATGAACTAATACAAAGCAAAGTAAGAAAAACCAGGAGAATGCTGTACATAGTAACAGTAATATTGTAAGGATGATCAGCTGTTGGAAGACTTAGCTACTTTGATTAATACAATGATCCAAGACAATTCCAAAGGACCCAAGGTGAAAAATGCTACCCACCTCCAGAGAAAAAACTAATGAACTCTGAGTATAGACTGAAGCATACTTTTTTTTAACTATCTTTATTTTTCTTGGGTGTTATGTGTCTATTTTCTTTCACATAAGGGCTAATGTGGAAATATGTTTTGTATTACCACATTAATAATTGATATAATATTGCTTTCCTTCTCAAGGGGTGAGGGAAAGGCATAAGGAAGAGAATTTAGAACTAAAAAAATTTTAAATGAATATTTTAAGATTTTACATGTAATTGGGAAATATTTAACAAAATAAGTAAAAATACATATTTAAAACACATGGGCAGTTAGATGGTGCAATGGACAGAGCATTGGTCCTGGAGTCAGGAAGACCTGAGTTCAAATCTGGTTCCAGGTGCTTACCAGCTATGTGACTCTGGGCAAGTTATTTGATCTCTTTTTGCCTTAATTTCCTCAACTATAAAATGGGGATAATAATAGCACCTCTCTCCCAGAGTTGTTGTGAGAATCAAATGATACAATATTTGTAAGGCCCTTAACACAGTACAGGGCATGTGGTAAGTGCTCTTTAAATGTTAGTTGTTTTTATTATTACATAAGTAGCTTAGGTGAGCCTGAACCTAAGTTTGGAGTTGCCTCTTTTGTTTTATTTCTTTCTT